AGTTATGTGGAACCAGCATATATATTCCCAACCTTAGATTTTTTATTGCTCATTTACACAATGAAATACAACATGCTATCTATAATGAAGTTGCGAGGCGTATTGAAGAACCTTGTTTTCCTCGGTATGAAAATACCGAGGAAAGAATCAAATCGTTCGAAGGAGTATGGGACGAAGACAATTATCCATCAATAGATAAAATGGCTGAAGCGGGATTCTATTTTGAATCAAAACCTAATAGAGCACAGTGTGTTTTCTGTGGTCTTAGCACTTCTACATGGAAAAATGCAACCAATCCTTTGGCAATTCATTCCCGTGCAATAAAACATGTGCGTATTTACTAACTAAATGCTCACCTTATTCTTTCCCAGTTGACAGTAATGTTATTCCGCCACCTATCGAGGATCATCCAATGAATTTTGAAGAAAGGAAAGAAAGGCTTCGTTTGCAAATTTTAAGTATTAAGGTTATGACGTGAATAGTGAAATGGTTGTCGATTGTCTTTCTGAGGCTGGATTTATGTATTCAGGGTTTGATACATGCATCAGATGTTTTAAATGCAAAGCTGCAGTAACATATGAAAATCCGAGATTAAAGCCGTGGATTTTGCATGCAGTAATATCACCTTCCTGTTCATTTGTGTTGTTCGCGAAAGGGACAGAATTTATTGAAACCGTTGCATCAACAATGGACTTAAGTATCGACTCAGAACCAACTGTTGTTACCTTCTTACTAAAGTGTTTGATGGGAAACATAGAAGTGACTGGAAAGAGCGAATAACAATTACTATGCCCCTATCTGATAGTTCAGAAGCCCAATTGTAAGATAGGAAACACCGACTGTCATGCGGTTATTTAAGGATAAAGGGCATGTAATACATCTATGGTATTTATAAGTAAATATAACAACTGCCTTAAATTCATAATATGGTCCTTAACTGCCTATTTTTGCTATGAGGACAGTACGCATATCGTGCGATTGCTGCTGTCAGTGTAAAAGTGTAATATTGACTTTAAAAAGTGAGTCCATTTATTAGTAAAATACAGAAATCTAAAAAAAAAATAATTAAACTTTTTCTTTAAATGCTATTTCTTGGTATTGAAGATTAGCTTCTGTCCAAGTTTCATAACAATCCATGACAGCTTTACAAATTAATAATGTCAAAAAAATTTAATCCCAGACTGTCTGTAAATTTTAACTGTAAAAGACTGTAAGAAACTAAGTCGATCTATTAGAAAAATACTGAAAATAAAAAAAAAAAAATCTTTTTTCAAAAGTTTGCTTCAGACATTATCTCTTAATCATAAAGAAGTTTCATAAAATTCTACGAAGCTTTGACAAAGTAATTGACGTGTAACAAACTTTAACCCTAGATTGTATCAACTTGGTAACTGTAAAAAAAACTAAGTCCATTTATCAGTAAATTATATTCAAAATTTCACTTTGGATACTGTATTTTGGTCATAAACAAGCTTCTGTCCAAATTTCATAATATTCCATGAATGTTTGACATAGTTATTTATGTCTAAAAAAAAATTTAACAACAGCCAACGACGGAATCTATGATCGCTATGTCTCGCTTTTGCGACAAAAATGAGCAGTAGCCTAAACAATTTCAACCACTGGGTCGAAGCCACTGCTAATGGAGGTTTCCTCTCCGAGGGTATCACCATCCAAGTAGTCAGCACGGTTGTGTTGACATGAATTATCATTGATATGGTCATAATTATTAATTAAATATGAACTTTTCATTTTCTTTCTCATGAATAAACTACCTAAGCTGTATTCGGCTAAACCTTTCGGAATTTTGGGTACTCATTGCTCTTCAACTTCGTACTTTATTTGACCTTTTTAACTTTTTTTTTATTTCAGCGTCACTGATGAGTATTTTGTAGATGAAACGCGCGTCTTGCGTTCAAATTATTAATCCTGGTATCTATGATGAGTTTTATTTTTATTTTAAAGTTATCTGGGATGCATGAGATGTGAGGACTCTTGAAAACAGGGTTTTTTTAGTGATATAACATCATTTTATTAAATATATTTGAAAGTGGAATTAAAGAACTTTGCAAGATGCGTTACTTTTTGTCTTTCAGAAGGTAATGTATAGTTTTGTTTCATACGAGTACCAAAAAAGTCGAAAATGAGGGGGAAAAAAAGGAAAGGCATAGCTCTGCTTCAATGTCCGGGTTTGCCTTTACTTTTGGTCCTTATTTGGTTTATCAGCTCTTCAACGTTTGTATTGGGTTATGGATTTTTTAAATATTTTAGCCTCGAACATTACTGAAGATACATTAAATGTCGAAATGCGCATCTGGTGCTGTAAAATTGGCACCTTTGATGTTATTGAACAAATATTACCACATATTTAGCAAGCAAACTCACCAAAATTTTATTAAGAATACTACTAACGAATAGCTTTGAACAAAAATTTAATAGATTAAGTATATAAATGAGACATAAGACAAAAAGTAAACAACAAAATGACGAGACTGTTTTCTAAAATCCTGTTAAGGATTCGACAGTTCGTTACCCAAATCAACAAATGTAAAAATTTTATTAGCACAGCTGTAGATTTTAAGTAGGAATTCAAAATTTATATCTGAAAAATGTCCAATTTGAAGGATTTCATTTATTACAATGTAATGCATCACCTGTTAGAATAGCAATGATTTCATTTGTCTCAATGGAATTGTACATTTTTTGTAGCAAGGCTTGTATTTATAACAGTGTTATTGTACATCATCTGTTAGAATAGCAATGATTTCAATTGTTTCAACAAAATTGTAAATTTTTTGTAGCAAGGCTTGTATTTATAACAATGTTAGTGTACACCATCTGTTAGAGTAGCGATGATTTTATTTATTTCAATGTAATTGTACATTTTGTGTAGCAAGTCTTGTATTTATAACAATGTAATTGTACATCATCTATTAGAGTAGCATTGCAATTGCAATTGTACATTTTTCTGTATCAAGGCTTGTATTTATAACAACGTAATTGTACATCATCTGTTAGAAAAGCAATGATTTCATTTATTTCAATGCAATTGTACATTTTCTGTATCAAGGCTTGTATTTATAACAACGTAATTGTACATCATCTGTTAGAGTAGCAATAACTTCATTTATTCCAATGCAATTGTAAATTTTCTGTAGCAAGGCTTGTTTTTATAACAATGTAATTGTACGTCATCTGTTAGAATAGCAATGATTTCATTTATTTCAATGCAATTGTACATTTTCTGTAGCAAGGCTTGTTTTTATATTATGTAATTGTACATCATCTGTTAGAGTAGCAATGATTTCATTTATTCCAATGCAGTTGTAAATTTTCTGTAGCAATGCTTGTATTTATAAGAATGTAATTCTACATCATCTATTAGAAAAGCAATGATTTCATTTGTTTCAATGCAATTGTAAATTTTCTGTAGCAAGGCTCGTATTTATAACAATGTAATTGTACATCATCTGTTAGAGTAGCAATGATTTCATTTATTTCAATGCAATTGTACATTTTCTGTAGCAAGGATTGTATTAAATAGAATTGGGACAATAAACCCTTTTTTCTTTATTAATTACATATCTCTGTAGAACGAATATATATGTATCATTTGTCACTATTCATGCACATAGAACAAAGACGAGTATTAATTTTATGGACTTTTCAACTCCATTTTAGTGAGACTTTTTTGTACTTGGCAGTAAATATAATCAGATTTATTATACATCTTAAAGTTTCTGAACAAATATCGATTAAAGAGCTGAGCACCCTGTTTGTTTTGAATTTTTATTCTTCTGCTTCAGAGGACCCATGTAAGTTGGCATAATTTGTGTCAAAATCTTTTGTGTTTCTAGCAATGAAAATATTGAAACTAATTTTTTTATTTCTTTTTTCAACTTTAAGTCTTCTGATTTCTACACAGTATAAATTTGGCTAAAGCGAAGTTGCGTAATAGGGTTTGAATAATCTTGTATATACATTGTAGATGAAGCACGAAAAGAATAAAAAAAAAACAAAGGGCTAAAATACAATATGTGAAACTGAGGATATTGCAGTCATTCTCAACACTAGAATTATTGTTTTACTTCTATTAGATCAAAATATATCATAGATGTTTCATGATGGAAATATGATACCAAGTACCGATAGCAAACCTTCTCTTTAGGGCTTAAGTTGGCCTGAAGCCAGATACATATTTTTCTAGTATTGAAAGATGTGTGGTTCTAACATTCCTTAAAACACTAAGGCGACTGTAGCTCAGAAAGATGAACATCAGTTAAGTAATTATAGTTTCTGAAAAAAAATCAATAGATTCAACCATTAATACCGCCTTAAACGAAAATACTTTACAAATAAACTGTTAACTCAGAGATATTTCTCGCCTCTATGTAATTTTGATAGTATAAGACAAATACTGAAATTTAAATGGCAATATTTAAACATGTAAACTATGCCAAACATTCAAGGTCAATGAACCATGACTGAAGGTGTAGGGTCAAAAGACCTCTGTGAAAATGGCAATGCTGCAGAGCAAATAACATTGATTTATGATAAGTGGTTCCCTTTAAAGTAACCTAAACACACACTTTAACATGCAAACTATAACAAACATTCAAAGTCAATAGACCATGATTGAGGTTTCGGCCAAATAATCGCTATGAAAATGAGACTTGCAAATGATAATACAACTGCGTACCAAATATCATTGACTTAACATTAATTTAGTGGTTGATCTTAAACTGACCTTATCACAAACTTTAAATTGTAAGCTATGCACAACATTTAAGTTCAATAGACCATGACTGAGGGAGCGTGGACAAATGTTGATGTGTATTAATCTGGTTTTTATATCAAAGTTTTCTAATTCATAAGATAACATCTCTATTTTTTAACCGGACTTGTTCATACCATTTCAAGAATAAATTCAGCGTAAAGGGTTAAAAATTGTAGTTTTAAAATAACAAAAGTACAATTATGAAAAGATGAAAAAAAAAGTATGAAATTGTTTCCTTGCGCACAATACATGTTTCTGGATAAACCTTTATTTAGTTCGTTCGAGGTCAAAAGTATGTATACTCAAAGCAATAAAGGAAGCAAGTGATGAAGTAATACACATAATTTACATAGTTTTGTTTATATATAATTTCCAACACCAAACATGTATATTTTAGATTGTAGTCATTACACGTGACTTTTCCAGTCACTGTAAGGATTGACATTTCCTTTTAAATGAATTTTTGATAATTCTTGTTGTTTTGTATCCTTTCTAACTGGTGGGTTAGATTTCTCCTTATATTTATCAGATTGTTTCTTCTTAGGCACAGGTTGTCTGCATTTATGAACCCCAAAAGCACAACATTCCAACATTAATTGAAAAAGTTCAAACATACTGATAATGGATAAACCAATCCATAAACCAATAGCACCACCGACATCTGAGGCAAACTGTTGTACCTAAAAATAAATAATCAAATAAACATTTTTTTTTTTTTTTTCAGAAACTGTTTGCAAGTGTATATGGTTCAAAATTAAAAATATATAACCTAACACAATGGGGACTACATGAAAATCACTGGAGACCAAAACTGTATGGTTTTAGTTAAATTGCCACCACAGAAAATAAATCGTTTTAATTAATTTTTTTCAGTCATAAGAAAAACATTTGGCAAAGAACCTGAATAGCAATTTTCTGACTTCATGAAGTCCATTGGATCAACATTAAATTAAGTAGTATTAGAGTTTCGAAGTGCAATTTAATTTCTACTACTATAAAAAATAAAATCTTCATAAAACAAAATTAAAATTGAAATTTAGAAAAAAAATATATAACAATGAGTAAGTATAGATAAGTTACCTCTATTTCTGGTGTCTCTTCTATAAGTTCATAATTCAAATCTTCAAAATATATTTTTATCTTAACAAAGTTATGCCTAAAATATAAATTATTAAATGTAAAGAATAGAGCGATCGTGTTATATATAAAAGTTTTTAATCGACGTCAGAAGAAACATACGCCAATGAACAAACAGACAAACATTAGTAAAACAACTTTACCTCAGGAAGGATAACCTTAGCTGTATTTGGAAAAACTTTTAGGAATTTTTGGTCCTATGCTCTTCAACTTCGTACTTTATTTGGCCTTTTTAACTTTTTTTGATTCGAGCGTCACTGATGAGTCTTTTGTAGACGAAACGCGCGTCTGGCGCAAATACAAAATTTCAATCAATCCTGGTATCTATGATAAGTTTATTAATAGAATAGAGAATGGAAATAGGGAATGTGTTAAAGAGACAATAACCCGACCAAAGAGCAGAAAACAGCACAAGGCCACCAATGGGTATTCAACGAAGCAAGAGCTTCCATAATAACGATGTACGAGTAGGTAAGTCGACAGGTGAAGCATTTTTTGATTTGCATGCATTGCACGTTATACGATTTCAAAGCCATTCCCATGCCACAACAAAAATCAAACATCCATAATAATTTGAACATAGAATATCGTCCTGGCCAAAACAGAAAAACATGGGAGTGAAATTGCGTGAATTCCAAAAGGAGTTAGACCAGACGTGGGAACAATGCAAGCATCGATCTCCTACTGAACATGCATCACCAGTCTGACGATTCGCAAGTCATATCCATCAGCACGTGTCATGAACAGAAAGTTTGCAAAATTGGTAAACAATGTTAATAGACAGAAAGATGGCAAAACTGGTAAAAAAAATTATGAACAGAAGCTGGCAAAAATGGTTAAAATGTTAATGAACAAAAAGATAAATGAACAGAAGTTGGCAAAACTGTACAAAATGTTAATGTACGATAAAGGACATTTGAATTGCTTTACATTTTGCCATGCCAGGTTTTTGTATTGCCTACTACTAGAAATTCAGAAATTATTGCGTGCATTTATTATTGCAATTTTTGAAGAACGGACAAAATGTGAGATTAATTAATGCGACTTCAGGAAAATCAGCATACAGTTATACGTATCAGATGTCAGAATGCGAGTTCTTATTATTGTGATTCTTACCTAGTCGCATTATTCGCATTAATAAACCCCTCTCAATAATTTCTGAATTAACAGTATACAGCATAGATTTGGTTCATTGTTGAGGGCCATATGGTGGCCTGTAGTTGCTTTCATCTACGTCTGTTGGTCTCTTGTGGATAGTCGTATCATTGGCATTTATACCACATCTTCATATGTGTATGCTGTAGGATCTATGACATAGACTTGTCTTTAATAACTTGAAAGTTTCATGTTTTTGCTTCCTGGACACTTTTAGTCCGGAGTGTTCCAATTGACGGTATATAATCTGGACACTGGAATTAGTATCAAACGTTTATATTCATACACTGATCTAACCAATTCAAGTTGTTATTCCTCATAAGCCTATTGAAGTTATTTAACAGTTACGAGTTCACTTCTAATTGTGAATTACTACATTACCAAAAACTATTGTATAGTTAACTACAAAATAAAGAATACACAAAACCCAAAACGGTTAAACTTAAGAAATGACATACGAGCCCGAAGCGATATAAAGAGTTTTAATAGTGCCAATGCCGGTTTTTTTCTAATGGCTAGCTGTTAATTCAAATAGCAGGATAAATCAAGGGTTAGACTGTGGGTTTTCAGGGAAGTACATATCGAATCACATGTAAATACTGATCAAATATACAATGTACTAGGCTTAAAATTTGTTACGCTAAACTCGCATTTCGTTTACATTAGTCTTATAAGAAACCCCCTTTCGAAATGTCCTCATCTCCGAGCTTAACTTTGCTCGTGTTTCTGACACTTGATGCTATTTATCCCTTCAAGAAGACGATATAACGCCACTTGAACATCATTTACATGTAACATTTAGTAGAAAGATCAAAGAATACATTCATGAAAAGTTTGTAGACGCTGTGTATTGCAATCAGAATCTGCCAACCAAAAGGCTGAAAACACTATTGCATAAGAAAAACAGATAAGCAAAACTCTTAAAAGAAATGACAGATTAAAGAAGGTGACCTCTACTTAAATATGAGTGATACTAGAAATTCCAATGTCAAGACGAATCGTTGAAATGACACAGCAGAAATTGGATTTATTACATTGTTACATGAAACTGTTCTCAGCAGATAAATTGATGATGTATATATTTTTAGAATAGGAATAATAGTTCTCACCCTAAAGCACGATAATCGCTTCCTTTATTTGTGATTTGATCACAAGCCTGTTTCGGGAGTTTTTCACATACGCCTTCCATTAAAACATTCTGTAAAATAAAAGCAAATCATGTTTAGGATTAAAGTAGTATGGGAGTATAAAAAAATATAGATTTGTTTATACTTTGCCAAAATGTATATAAAATAAGGAGATGTGGCATGATTGCCAAAGGGACAACTATCCAACAAAGTCCAAATGAAGCATTTATAGGTCACCGCATGTGCGGCTTCAACATTGAGCAATACCCATACGGTTTACTCAATTGTAATAGACTAGACTTGACAAAATGTGAAACAATTCAAACGAAAAAACCAACGGCCTGATTTATGATAAATCAATTAACGAAAAATAAATATGACAAGCATCAACCAACGGCAACCACTGAATTTAAGGCTCATGACAGTCACATATAGTATTTGCCGGGGTTAACCATATGTGTGAGATCTCAACCATCCCCTTAACCTGGAACAAATGGTGTAGCAGTACAACATAAGAACAAACTATAAAAATAAGTTGATAATGGTTTGACTCATCAGATCGGAACGAAGGTAAAAAAAAAACTACACAAAGTGCCAATATAAAAGTGCTCGAAATTACTGAACGCTATTTCAAAGCCAATGACCACTGATAAATAAATCGTGTTCTCCTTGTAGCTTATATCATTCCTTTTTTTTTCAACACCATAATGCAAAGAATAGTCCAGAGTGCTGACATTCAGTCTACAGTCAGTGCAAAATTTCATATTTTGTAAGGATAAGTATACATGTATGACAAAAGTACTTTATGGATGTACCCTGCTGTATACTAGATCGACATAATGAATCGAGTTTTTGACGTACTATTTTACAACGAACAGTCAAAACAGGGAAACATGTTAACCAGCCCTGCACCTTATTCTTACGTAGAACCTACCAATCTTTACTCCTACTCCTGAATGATTCGTGTAAAGAAGCGAAAAAGCCAATTCAAAATTAAAATTTTTGGTTCGACCAGGTCGCCGATTTTGATTCGATTGAACTACCACGACACTACATTCAACATGTCATGTGAAATGCTATTTAAAAAACCCATTACCATTCATTTTCACAATAGGAAAGACGTATAAGCCCTTTTCTCAATTCACCTTCATCGGGAACGATCCTCGGAATGATCAAACCTAAACATTTGAAAGCTAGTGATGTATTAGTACGTAGAAACGTAAGGAGCGATATGACCAAAAGTTATATATCATCATATCATATATGTTATAAATTGAGCTCAAAATTACAAAACAAAATCAATGATTTAAATTCTGGAATAAGTGTTTTTAGATACACATCGAACATCCAATTTTTTTCTTCTACTACCTAGAGAGTAATTAACAGAGAATCGTGAAGTTGTATTCAGGTGTTATGGTAGCTCCCTTAGTTTCAACATGGTTTAAATTTTTGTTACACAGACATACATCCCTAACAGGAGGGATTGTGCCTGATATTCATATGATGAAGACATAATCTTTCAATCAGTTTAATTGAGGTCTGGAGCTGGCATGTCAGTAACTGCTAGTAGTCTGTTGTTATTTATGTATTATTGTCATTTTGTTTATTTTCTTTTGTTTCCTATTCTGACATCGGACTCGGACTTCTCTAATACTGAGTTTTACTGTACGTACTGTTGTGCGTTTGTTTTTCTACATTGGCTAGAGGTATAGGGGGAGGGTTGAGATCTCATCAAACATGTTTAACCCCGCCGCATTTTTGCGCCTGTCCCAAGTCAGGAGCCTCTGGCCTTTGTTAGTCTTGTATAATTTTCAATTTTAGTTTCCTGTGTATAATTTGGAGTATGACGTCCATTATCACTGAACTAGTATACTTATTTGTTTAGGGGCCAGCTGAAGGACGCCTCCGGGTGCGGGAGTTTCTCGCTGCATTGAAGACCCATTGGTGGCCTTCGGCTGTTGTCTGCTCTATGGTCGGGTTGTTGTCTCTTTGACACATTCCCCATTTCCATTCTCAATTTTATCAATAGGAATTAAATGAACTTGGAATAAATATCTCCATTTGCTATTCTTAAACACATTATTTCTGTTATCTTCCATTCTTACCCAGCTTAGACAAGATTACTCCCTTGATATCACTGCGAAATAAACAGTTATTGTTCATTTTATTATACAAACGCCGTTTACTTACAGAATATTCGTCAGTAGGCCAGTTCCTGGCGCTGAAAGATTTCCCAAACTGAGTTTCTCTACAATATTCAAAGAATCGCAATACATTTAATATCTGGTCAGGTTAAGCACTAAATTCGATATAAACTGAGAACCGGGAAAACTGTTTAATCAACACTGTATTCTGTGGCTTTACAAGTTATTTTTCGTCAATATGCAGAAGAATCCGTGAAAATCTCCGACATTAAGAGTCTAATATCAATGATAACGATTACGTGGCACCGTGGTAAATTAACCTATTATAATTCCTTTTATAATTACAAACTTGTGACAGGCAACAGTAGTAAACAAAACAGGCAACAGAAGAAAACAAAACAGGCAACAGTAGTAAACAAAACAGGCAACAATAGTAAACAAAACAGGCAACAGTAGTAAACAAAACAGGCAACAGTAGTAAACAAAACAGGCAACAGTAGTAAACTGATGAACCTCGGTGACTACAAATCTGCAAGTAATATATAGTATCGACCAAGTTAGGGTAAAATCTAGTAAAAGGTTCCATTTTGGCGTTTGGGATATAGTTTCTAGATTTACCTCCATTAAGAACGAATTGAGCTAAAAGTTCAAACGGTACAAGAGGAGCCTTCTTCTAATTTTCCGAAAAAGGATTAAGGACAGTAGAAAAACTATCATGAGTCATTACGTTTATCAATATATTCGTTTAAAATCATCGCGGTCTAATTATGAATTGAAGTTCCAAGGGTCATTGAATGTAATCTCAGAGAAAACCATCTTTATTGTGACTATCTCTATGAAACTTATTAAGTTGAAAGATGAAGTAACCATTACTAATTAAAAAGTACAGAAAAGATCATAAGTAAACAGATACAGACGGGAGAATTCTAAGATATATGATGGTATGCCTTCTGATCAGTCACTCTTACCGTTTTTTTTTTTTTTTCTTTGAATGAAAATTGTTTGCTGAGTCCAGAAGTGCTAAGTTTTATGTTTAAAAATGCAGACAACTTACTGACAAGGCTTCACACATTGAGGACATTCAAGCGTTCTCCCCTTCAGGTCTGCTTCAAGCTGAGCTAAACACACCCGTTCTACCAAAATAATCAACGTTATCTTATTAGTCCAAATATTTTATTGGCGATAGTAAAACAAAAATACTTTTAACATGAAAATAAAAGACATGTGGGATTGCCTATGAGACAACTATTTACCAAAATACATCAGGATAAAGATGTAAACAAATTTACTTTGAGTATAAAATTGAGAATGGAAATGGGGAATATGTCAAAGAGACAACAGCCCCGCCAAAGAGCAGATAACAGCCGAAGGCCACCAATGTGTCTTCAATGCAGCGAGAAAATCCCGCACCCGGAGGTGGTCCTCAGCTGGCCCCTAAATAAAAATGTGTACTAGTTCAGTGAAAATGGACGTCATACTAAACTCCAAAACATATAAATGAACTAAAATTAAAAAACATACAAGACTAACAAAGGCCAGAGGCTCCTGACTTGGGGCAGGCGCAAAAATGCGGCGGGGTTAAACATGTTATATGTATACTTATGAAATATTATATTGTTTAAAGTGTTGCTATCCGAATGTATATCATAAAGCCATGTAACCGATTATTTCACGAACATGTTGTAATAGGGTAAACCAAAGTGGACAGACTGCACTGTCGCTCGCAAATGTTAAATTTATTATGACTGAACAGTATTATTATTTTTTATTTCAAATTTTTACTACACATATCATGGGAAAAACGTGAAAATAATTCTAATGAATAAATATAAATGATCTTTTAAACATAATAACCGAGGGGCAGGCTCGTAGGAATCGTAAAACTGCGAAAGTATAATCAAGATTTAAAGACGTAAACTCTATAACACCAATAAAATAAATCCATTTGACTACAATTCTAAGCATTTATTCAAATTGCTTTACCTTAAATTCGATAAATCAGGCCACACCAATTTGATTTTTAGTTCTTCGGACAAAAGCTCCAAAAAATATGGGGCGAGCGAGCGAAATTTTTTTGATTGTATTTATTTCTTGAAAATGAGTTTTGTTGAAGCGGGTGCTCTACAAGTGGAGCGAGCGGTATAATTTTTTTTTTAAATTGTGCGATTTAGAATATTTGTACATGTTAAAACTGGAATACTTCAAAGAAAAAGGAGGATAAACATGCTCTTATGCATATAAGTTGATGTATTTGTGTCTGTAGTTCAGTCTGTACCATACCCAACTTTTTGGTTTGCTTTGGTTTAGTATAATTTTGATTATTTTCGTCAAATAATCTTTGACTGCGTGAATTTTCATTTAAATCCATACATGTGTATATATTAAGGAAGCATATCAGATGCAGTTTAGCAGGAGGAATTATGTTAGTTAGGTAAATGAAATGTGTTGAATACTATTAAAATATGTGTATGTATTCCAAAAACATGCCCATGAAAAATATTAAATATCTTTTCATTATATGGTAATGATTGTTTATTGGCTGCTTGACATCCAGTTAAAACTATTTATCCATAATAGGATCAACATAATGAGTGAGGTGAATATTTCAACAACATCCCGAGTAAGATAATTATATTGCTATGCATGCAGATCTCAATGTATTAAAACATTTAATCCCGCTGCAAATGTTTGCACCTGTCCTAAGTCAGGAATCTGATGTACAGTAGTTGTCGTCTGTTTATGTAGTTCATACGTGTTTCTCGTTTCTCGTTTTTATATAGATTAGACCGCTGGTTTTTCCGTTTTAATAGTTTTACACTAGTCATTTTTGGGGCCCTTTATAGCTTGCTGTTCGGTGTGAGCCAAGGCTCCGTGTTGAAGGCCGTACCTTGACCTATAATGGTTTACTTTTATAAATTGTTACTTGGATGGAGAGTTGTCTCATTGGCACTCATACCACATTTTCCTATATCTATTCCCTTAAAATACATTTAACCACATTCACATGCATTATTCTGACTTAGCAAAATACTATTTCATTTTGCCCCTGAAACCTGCAATGTATTTCAAACTGGAAGTGGTTGCACCAATAACACATCCCTAATTATTATTAGCATGCCAATCCCAATACCACCACTTTGGTCTCGAATGTTAACTGGAACTCTTAAATTTTCCCTTACAAAAGAGTTCTGATTGCATGTCAATAGACTAACAAGGGGATATGGTGTTTTCATTAAAATAAGATAAATCTGTCATTTTTCAAAAATTCATGTGAATTTAATATTAATTTCATCCAAGACAGATAGCTCTAGATTTCTATGTCTGTTGTAGTCCGAGATTACTCTGACGTCCAACGGCTGTTTTGTCAGACAAGCTGGGGCCGTGGGACTACAGCCCCCATCTTTTCTGGCAAACAGCTGTTGGACGTCGGAGTAATCTCGGACTATGTCTGTTGAAACAATGATCGGGGATGACAATGGTTCTAACAAGTACTGATGTGATCGTGGTCATCTAACGAAAGATTTTTTATTTTTGTCTCTTAGAACAGGTAAAACGAAATGCATTTCAAATAACTGTGTGTTTAATAACTGCGTGTCCTCGGCAATGATCTGACACAACTTCATGTTGGCATCCCGATTTTTGACCTTTTATTTACAACTCGATTTATCACACGTGCGTTTGAATCGCTCGGAGCAATATATGCACGAGAAAAACGTCTAAGAGAAAAAAAAAAATGTCAAGGATAAACTAATTTTGGAGCGGCATGCGGCCCAAAAATTGGCGGAAGCGGTAATTATTTTTTTTTATTGAAAAGTCAATTTCTCCAAAACAGGAGCGGGAAAATCCAAAGAACTATTAATCAAATTGGTGTGGCCTCAGTGTTGATTTTTTTGGCCTATAAACTTCAAAGACACCATTTGAACACAATTAATTTTATACAGGTAAACACGACGATTAACATATTTTTGTAACCTATAAAATGAAATCAAACAGACCTAGAAAAATCCAATTGCACGTGTTCGCTATACATTTATATTTGTATTTATAGTTATATCGGGTGAAATGACCGTCGGTGGTCTCCGGAGGTCATCTCGATGGGTAATTAAATGGCGTCTAGACTAAATACACACGAACTGCTGATACATATTATCGACTCAATGCATTGTTAATTGTTTATTTTATCCTTTTTGTAATTTGGATATACGTTTTAGTTTATTATAAATCAAACATCGATGAACATGAACTTGACAGCTAATGCCCCTTTTAACGTTCTCCGTTATTATTAATAACGTTTAAGAAATGACTGTAATATTTTTTCTGTCTATGAAGAAATAACATAAAAAATGTGGTGCACACTGAATAACCCGCCTAGCGGGTTATTTAAAAGTGTGCACCCCTTTTTTAGGTTATTTCGAATAGATAGAAAAAATATTCCAGCACTCCTTATAATTTAATTCTAAAAAGGCGTAAATCATGATAAAAACGTTGATGACGTCACGGTCACATGACTAAATTATGTCTATGAGCTGATAGACAAAACACTTTCAACCAATCAGAAGACGTGTTACATCCAAAATTAAATTATTACAATATAACATAATCCTCGATCCGCTGACATGGTCCTTAGACATAGACATAGACCGGGTTATGTCAAAAGTATGAGATAAGTAAGTACTACATTTATAAGTTAAAGGAATCTGATTACAGTAGTTGTCGTCTGTTTATGTAGTTCATACGTGTTTCTCGTTTCTCGTTTTTATATAGATTAGACCGTTGGTTTTTCCGTTTGAATGGTTTTACACTAGTAAATTTTTGGGACCCTTTATAGCTTGCTGTTCGGTGTGAACCAAGGCTCCGTGTTGAAGGCCGTACCTTGACCTATAATGGTTTACTTTTATAAATTGTAACTTGGATGGAGAGTTGTCTCATTGGCTCTCATACCACATCTTCCTATATCTATAAATCATTATTGAGCACTTTTTAGTCGTTTATTCTTCCCAATATTTTAGGGGATAGTATTGACAGCAAGAATTATTGTAGAAAAAAACATGGATCTAGAACATTTCTAAGCAACATAGTTCTTGACGGATTCCAATGAAACCGATATTTCTCTACCTTCTTACAGGAAATCCCTTTATTTACTAATGGATCCCTTAGCTGTGTATGTCACCGTAAAAGTTACATAGAATTTAAATAAACGTCAGTATCGAAAACTTTAAAACGATGACTAAATTTTGAAACGGTTGCAAATGTCACAACTATATCTAAAAGACATTGGAATAGCCTTACTGTGAAAAATCATCTCTGAAAAAATCTACAAAGTTATTCATCGTTAATTGTCTTGTCAATGCTGTATTATTATAAAATATAACTCATCATTAATAAGGGCTGTGGAAGGATATAATTATATCGGGAAAACAAAACAGGTATTAAACAGGCATGTTGCCTCCATTTGTTTCGTTCAAGTTTCTGATGTGTCCATAATTTCGGAATTTAAACTTTGTGTTATTAATGTCCTGTTTTGTGGCTCAACTAAAATGATTTACCTGTTTCACTTCTGCATGGTGCCACAGAAAACGTGTAATTTAAAGTGAAGAAAAGGTCTGATTCTGCATTATCAAAACAACCACATGTGTCCACCACCAATTGCTGTTTACAAAAGTTCTGGCAAAGCTGTAACAAACATGAAATTGGATCTCATTTTCAAAAGGTCAACATATAGTACGAAACTTACCTTATGGAAGGCATGTTAATAATATTGTATTTTTAACAATTGTTTTTAAAATATTTTTAATCTCCGCACTTCCATGGAGAATTAACTAAGTCGTAAAACCTGTGAATGATCCATAACATTAACATATGCTAGAATTAAAATAAAATGGAATAATTTGGCTGTTTGAACTTATATCATATGCTTAAAATCATATTCCTGGATTCATTTGGAAGGGCAGGAAAAAAACGAAGAGATTTTGAATATTTTTGTGCATCAATCTTTCTTTTTAGATAGATATTTAAAGAGGTTCATGTACAACAGTTATATCGGTCAGTACTTCTAGGATTTATATATTATATAACAGAATAACCGATCAGGGTTTATATTATTATTTTATTTGATATTTCTTAATCAAAAAGTTAATAAATGTCAAAAAGAATTGACTGTCAGCAGTGACTGACAACTATAGGGCACTTTGACAACTAATGGGTGTTTCTATATATCTTTTTTTATATCAAAGTGGATGTAGAATTATTGAAGCATTATATATATCAATGGACATTGACGAGTCATCGAGGAGATACCATGCTTATTTGAACGGATCCTAACTATCTTACCGTTCTTGTGTATTTTGCACCATAATTGCTTAGATATGCAGTCACATCTTGACATTCTCCGTATGGACTCCCTTTTCGTATCAATTCTACCTTAAATTATACAGAAATCAAATAATATCAAAACAACATAAGTTCAGCAGCAATATCCTTACCCTTAAGGCATTTTCGACAATTTAACTTTAACGTCGAAAATCTATTGGAATTAGGAGTTACTTGTTGCTATGGTACCCTTGTTTTCCAGTTGATTGAATAGAAATTTTAAAATGAATTTAAAAAATCCTCCGAACAGTATATTATTCCTTTCAATTTCAGATGACTTTAATTTTAGCCTGTTAAAGTTTTAGAGATTTCCAAACGGTCAAATAGAAGTTAGTATGAAAGAAAAATCACTGCTGTTGTATATATGAACATGTCAATCATTGTGCACAATAAAGTGGTGTAATATTCTAAATAATAAAAAAAATTAAGCTTTGCAGATGGTCTCAATAATTTCTCCTGTTAATGTTTGAAAATTTTGGATGAATGAAATCATTATTGCTATATCAAAAGTGAAGTAGTAATCTTGACGAAATAATATAGTCACATAATATTCATACTTGTTTTAATGCAACGTGAGTTTCAAATCCCGACGACACGTATTCTCCCTCATCTGAAGGGAATGGATAGGTATATAGATCGTGAATCTGTATCCGAGCGCCGTATCCTTGTGCAATACCAGTTAGATATTCGTCTGTTTCCGTGTACAATGTTAGTGTTAAACCTAAAAGAACACACATTTAAAAAATTTGTAAGGGTTCCGCGGAACCCAGTGTCTCGCCTACTTTTGCTCTTAATCGCAGGCTCAACAAAAATGAGGAAAAAAATTAATAAAAATATTCCTCTCTATACTATCTTTTGATTGTAAGTAGCTTCTGTCCAAGTTTGGTAAAAATCCAGGATAGTTTATGAATTTAATAAATGTTTTAAAAACTTAAACTGCAGACTGTATGTAATGTTAACTGGAAGAAAAACTAAGTCCATTTATAAGTAAAATACGGAAAAAATGGAACAAAATTTTAACAAAATTTCTTTCTAGATACTAGCTTTTAATCATAAACAAGCTTCTGTCCAAGTTTGGTACAAATCCAGGATAGTTTAAGAAAGTTGTTAAAATAAATTTTAAAAACTTTAACCGCAGAAAGAATGTAATGTTAACTGGCAGAAAAATTAAGTCCATTTATAAGTAAAATACGGAAAAAATGGAATTTTTTTTTACAAGATTTACTTCTGAATATTATCTTATGATCATAAACAAGCTTCTGTCCAAGTTTGGTAGAAATCCAGGATAGTTTAAGAAAGTTGTTTAAATTTTAAAAACTTTAACCACAGAGTGAATGTAATGTTAACTGGCAGAAAAACTAAGTCCATTTATAAGTAAAATACGGAAAAAATTGAATTTTTTTTTTACAAAATTTACTTCTGGATACTATCTTATGATCATAAACAAGCTTCTGTCCAAGTTTGGTAGAAATCCAGGATAGTTTAAGAAAGTTATTAAAATTTCAAAAACTTTAACCACAGAGTGAATATTTGTGGACGCCGCCGACGACAACGACGACGACGACGACGCCGACGGAATGTAGGATCGCTATGTCTCGCTTTTTCGACAAAAGTCGAAGGCTCGACAAAAACAGCTATTTATACACGAGAAGTTTGAATATAACAAAATTTGATGAAAAACAATATTGTGGAAAGTAAAAAAATTAACAAAATAAATATCTGCATTGTTAGTTAAAGATGTCTTTATATCGCAACTGCACTGATATTTGTCCTTGCTAAGATTTATCCTGACGAATGAACACTTATCTAAGAACTCATTATATAGCAGGGATTCAATCTCGTTTTTTTTTCCATGTTCAGTCCGTTGATTTACCGCGATACCTCGAAATGACCTACAGAATACAATAATTTATTGAAAGCAATGTTGCGTGATAAATATAAGTCGTATACTGTAATTGAAAAAATAACAATATAGATAAAGATATACGTATCAACGCAAACTGTGTACGTTAATGGCCTTAACTAAGCTGCAGCTACTGTGTGGAACAGTCTTCCGGACCATTTCAGGACGAAAAATAGTTTTTCTCATTTTAAAATTTTGATTCAGTCTTGGAATAGTTCGAAATGTCGGTGTTCTGCATGTATTAGATTTCAGAGACCAGTTTCTGTCTTAGCTATGATATTGTTGGCTCTGCAACTCATTTCTTTAAAGTTTATTATTATAGCACTTTCCATGTGTATTTATTAACTCAAACTTTTAGTTTATGTAAATTGCTTTGTTATCTAGCTCTTATTTTTAAACTTTTCAATTTTTACCACTACTGACATGCTGTCAGGTGACCCATAGAGGCGCCTACTACATGATCAGCTGATGTACGGTTATTCTAGATAATTGTATTGGCATTATATTTTGTTCTTATGTTGTACTGTTACGCCACTGTTCCAATAGAAGCCGGGGGAGGGGTTGGCGCCTTCAAACATGTTTAACCCAGCCACATTATTTATGTGCCTGTCCCAAGTAGTTCAGTGATTGTCGTTGGTTCATGTCTGTCATATTTGTTTTTCGTAATTGTTTTGTCATAAATTAGGCCGTTAGATTTATCAATAGAATTGTTTTCATATTTTACTGTCGGGCCTTTTATAGCTGATTTTACGGTATAGGTTTTTCTCATTGTGTAGGCCGTACTGTTGCCTAAAATTGCTTACATCCACTTCATTTGAACTTTTGTTGATAGTTGTCTCATGGGTATATCTTCTTATTTTTATATTATAGGAAATGAAGCAGCCAAAACAAAATACGTAAACACATATATAACACAGGATAGATGGCCTTACACCAAATAGAAAGAATTATAATGTAACGACAAAGGGACATAAATCAATTAGGTGAGAACTTAAGCGATGACAAACAACTTCGGCAAAGAACATAATATGGAAAGAAACAGAGAAAACTATGGTCACTATTAAACTAAGTAAACAAGATATTAATCGAATGTTGATAATTCATATTTATGGAATTGATACCCTGCATGTGATTTTCCTATAATCCTTTGAAACGCCGTTAGCATTTAGAGTTAACCGTATCACATAACTTAGTCATATCTGCAAACGATAATTAAACCATAGTTTTGTCAATAAACGTATAACTAACATAAGGTAAATCCAATATGAATGGACAGTACTTATTTCAGCCTTAAATGTCTTGCTTTGAAATACTATTATTCGTTTCGGCGATAAAAAAATATCGTTTCTATCAAGTAAATTAACCTCTGATCTTGTATAGCAGTAACGTTTCTCGTTTGGGAAATTAGTTCAAGGTTTACTTCATAAAAACTCAAAATCTACTTGAAAGAATTTTTATTGATATGCTGATAGTTAAATGACAACTAAGCATCGTTCTACCCGGAAAAGCGCTTTTAGTTCCCTTTAGGTCATATAGCTCTTCAAGTATTCCTACATCCTTGAATTTAAAATTTTCGGTTTTGAGCGTTCTTGATGAAGGTTTATCTAGGATAGCAAATCGGGAGCACCAAAGTTATAGTGTTATTTGCATTTTACAAAAAAGTAAAATAACAAAAATACCGAACTTTTAGGAAAATTCAAAACGGAAAGTCCCTAATCAAATGTCAAAATCAAAAGCTCAAACACATCAAACGAATGGATAACAACTGTCATACTCCTGACTTGGTACAGGCATTTTCTTATGTAAAAAATGTTGGATTAAACCTGGTTTTATAGCTAGCTAAACCTCTCACTTGTATGACAGTCGCATAACAATTCCATTATATTGACAATGTGTGAACAAAACAAGCAGACATAAAAGGTATAAATGTCAAAATTAGGAGTACATCAGTCAACATTGTGTTATAATCTTAAACTATAAAAACAAACAAACAAATAAGTAAACAAAGAAAAACAAAAAGGCATATAGACAAAGCACATTAGCAAAAACGAAAGACGAAAATACAAAAATTTACCATAGCACAATAATACAATGACGGAATGTATAAGTACCGAGCCACGTCAAATGGATATTACCAAAAATAGACTAAACAGTAAAAGACAAATAAAAAAAAACACTATAAAACGTAATTAAGATGATAAACAACGTCAGTACCTAGAATCTAAACTTCAAGACCATCGTGTATTATTTGTGAAGTTGATACGGAATATTTATCAACAAGGTCTTGGTATCTTCCGATGAACTTTTTTAGAAGACAACTTAAACAATAACCTTGAGTCGTTCTGAGCGTTGATTTTTAAGATTTTTCGAAGGAAGTCTCGAAACCCATGAGGGAATCTCCGCTTTTATCATGCTTACCGTTATCTGGACCTGCAGACGTGACTACAAATTCTTCAGACTGAATTGTAAAACAATTTCCATAGTCCTCCGTTTGTAACCATGTAAAATTTCTGTAAAATGTATATAATATTAGTATACGAATTTATTTCAGCAGAAACTTGTTAAAAAAAAACATACATTTTAAGCAAGTTTCATATAATGACGTTTTCTATATTTCAGATGACTTCTCATAAAATAGCTTGATATCATGTTGGTAAGACAGACAATAATAATGAGAAAATACTCATACAACTTAACTAATTTACAACTTAAAGGGTCTTTCTTAGTGTAGTGGTATATTTTTAGACGTGAAAACTACACCGTCCGATATTCTAATTCATCGGTTTTTTTCCCTGAATGTTGATTGTTTGACGTCCTTCTGATTAAGAAGTACCACGATTTTAATTGAGACAACTTATTTCTTGCTTTCGGTCAGTTTTTTTATTGAAAATTCAATAAGATACAGTCCAACAGAAACATTTGACCTACTTATTCGTTATTTATTTTCAACTGTAAATGGTACTTTACTTACGATTGATAGCATTGATATCCACCAAATGAACACCCAATCAACAAATTCTGTAACTGATGGCCCGCCTTTCGTCTAGTTGCCCTAAGAGAAAAATGTCCAGCATTTCAAGGTTTTTGTGATAGGTGAAGGTTATGTTTACAAAAAATACTATATTTCATACAGTAGTTGTGTTAGGGCTATTGTAGTTTATGATTGCTTCTGTTTATAAGTAACTCCTAACTCGAATCGTATGGACTCCTGACGACTGATATTCATATCTATTCAGTCAAGCAACTGATTGGCTTATACCCAATTTCTCCTTTTATTCATATTCATTCAGTCAAGCAACTCCTTGGCTACTACTCAATATCTCCTGTTTCAATATTTATCCATTCAAGCAACCCATTGGTTTATACCCAATATCTCCTTTTATTCATATATATTCAGTCGAGCAACTTATTGGCTTATACCCAATACCTTCTTTTATTCATATATATTCAGTCGAGCAACCCATTGGCTTATACCAAATATCTACTTTTATTCATATTAATTCAGTCGAGCAACTTATTGGCTTATACCTAATATCTTACTTTATTCATATATATTCAGTCGAGCAACTTATTGGCTTATACCCAATATCTTACTTTATTCATATATATTCAGTCGAGCAACTGATTGGCTTATACCCAATATCTCCTTTTATTCATATTAATTCAGTCGAGCAACTTATTGGCTTATACCCAATATCTCCTTTTATTCATATGTATTCAGTCGAGCAACTCATTGGCTTATACCCAATATCTTATTTTATTCACATTTATTCAGTCGAGCAATTCATTGACTTACACTCAATATCTCCTGTTATTCATATTTATTCAGTCGAGCAACTCATTGACTTATACCCAATATTTCCTTTTATTCATATTTATTCAGTCGAGCAACTTATTGGCGTTTACCCAATATCTCCTTTTATTCATATATTTTCAGTCGAGCAACTTATTGGCTTATACCCAATATCTTACTTTATTCATATATATTCAGTCGAGCAACTCATTGGCTTATACCCAATATCTCCTTTTATTCATATCAATTCAGTCGAGCATCTGATTGGCTTATACCCAATATCTCCTTTTATTCATATTAATTCAGTCGAGCAACTCATTGGCTTATACCCAATATCTTATTTTATTCATATCTATTCAGTCGAGTAACTCATTGGCTTATACCCAATATCTATTTTTATTCATATATATTCAGTCTAGCAACTAATTGGACAACCCAATATCTCCTTTTATTCACATATATTCAGTCTAGCAACTTATTGGACAACCCAATATCTCCTTTTATTCATATTTATTCAGTCGAGCAACTCATTTACTAATACCCAATATCTCCTTTTTTCATATATATTCAGTCGAGCAACTCATTGGCTTATACCCAATATCTTCTTTTATTCATATTTATTCAGTCGAGCAACTCATTGGCTTATACCCAATATCTCCTTTTATTCATATGTATTCAGTCGAGCAACCTATTGGCTTATACCCAATATCTTATTTTATTCATATTTATTCAGTCGAGCAACTCATTGACTTATACCCAATATTTCCTTTTATTTATATGTATCCAGTCGAGCAACTCATTGGCTTATACCCAATATCTCCTTCTATTCATATATATTCAGTCGAGCAACTTATTGGCTTATACCCAATATCTTACTTTATTCATATATATTCAGTCGAGCAACTCATTGGCTTATACCCAATATCTCCTTTTATTCATATCAATTCAGTCGAGCATCTGATTGGCTTATACCCAATATCTCCTTTTATTCATATTAATTCAGTCGAGCAACTTATTGGCTTATACCCAATATCTTATTTTATTCATATGTATTCAGTCGAGCAACTCATCGGCTTATACCCAATATCACCTTTTATTCATATATATTCAGTCTACCAACTAATTGGACAACCCAATATCTCCTTTTATTCACATATATTCAGTCTAGCAACTTATTGGACAACCCAATATCTCCTTTTATTCATATTTATTCAGTCGAGCAACTCATTTACTAATACCCAATATCTCCTTTTTTCATATATATTCAGTCGAGCAACTCATTGGCTTATACCCAATATCTTCTTTTATTCATATTTATTCAGTCGAGCAACTCATTGGCTTATACCCAATATCTCCTTTTATTCATATGTATTCAGTCGAGCAACCTATTGGCTTATACCCAATATCTTATTTTATTCATATTTATTCAGTCGAGCAACTCATTGACTTATACCCAATATTTCCTTTTATTTATATGTATCCAGTCGAGCAACTCATTGGCTTATACCCAATATCTCCTTCTATTCATATATATTCAGTCGAGCAACTTATTGGCTTATACCCAATATCTTACTTTATTCATATATATTCAGTCGAGCAACTCATTGACTTACACTCAATATCTCCTTTTATTCATATATATTCAGTCAAGCAACTAATTGGCTTTACCCAATATCTCCTTTTATTCATATTTATTCAGTCGAGCAACCTATTGGCTTATACCCAATATCTTACTTTATTCATATATATTCAGTCGAGCAACTCATTGACTTACACTCAATATCTCCTTTTATTCATATATATTCAGTCAAGCAACTAATTGGCTTTACCCAATATCTCCTTTTATTCATATTTATTCAGTCGAGCAACTCATTTACTAATACCCAATATCTCCTTTTTTCATATATATTCAGTCGAGCAACTCATTGGCTTATACCCAATATCTCCTTTTATTCATATTTATTCAGTCGAGCAACTCATTGTCTTATACCCAATATCTCCTTTTATTCATATGTATTCAGTCGAGCAACTCATTGGCTTATACCCAATATCTTAATTTATTCACATTTATTCAGTCGAGCAACTCATTTACTAATACCCAATATCTCCTTTTTTCATATATATTCAGTCGAGCAACTCATTGGCTTATACCCAATATCTCCTTTTATTCATATTTATTCAGTCGAGCAACTCATTGGCTTATACCCAATATCTCCTTTTATTCATATGTATTCAGTCGAGCAACTCATTGGCTTATACCCAATATCTTATTTTATTCACATTTATTCAGTCGAGCAACTCATTGACTTACACTCAATATCTCCTTTTATTCATATATATTCAGTCAAGCAACTAATTGGCTTTACCCAATATCTCCTTTTATTCATATTTATTCAGTCGAGCAACCTATTGGCTTATACCCAATATCTTATTTTATTCATATTTATTCAGTCGAGCAACTCATTGACTTATACCCAATATTTCCTTTTATTCATATTTATTCAGTCGAGCAACTTATTGGCGTATACCCAATATCTCCTTTTATTCATATATTTTCAGTCGAGCAACCCATTGGCTTATACCCAATATCTCCTTTTATTCATATTTATTCAGTCGACCAACTTATTTCATTTTACCCAATATCTCCTTTTATTCATATGTATTCAGTCGAACAACCCATTGGCTTATACCCAATATCTTATTTTATTGATATTTATTCAGTCAAGCAACCCATTGGCTTATACCTAATACCTCCTTTTATTCATATTTATTCAGTCAAGCAACTGATTGGCTTATACCCAATATCTCCTTTTATTTATATCAATTCAGTCGAGCAACTGATTGGCTAATACCCAATATCTCCTTTTATTCATATCGATTCAGTCGAGCAACTGATTAGCTTGTACCGAATATCTCCTTTTATTTATATTAATTCAGTCGAGCAACTCTATGGCTTATACCCAATATCTCCTTTTATTCAAATTTTTATTCAGTCGAGTAACTGATTGGCTTATACCCATTATCTCCTTTTATTCATAATCATTCAGCTAAGCAACTTATTGGCGTATACCCAATATCTCCTTTATTCATATTAATTCAGTCGAGCAACCCATTGGCTTATACCCAATATCTACTTTTATTCGTATATATTCAGTCGAGCAACTCATTGGCTTATACCCAATATCTCCTTTTATTCATATATATTCAGTCGAGCAACTCATTGGCTTATACCCAATATCTCCTTTTATTCATATATATTCAGTCGAGCAACTGATTGGCTTATACCCAATATCTTATTTTATTCATATTTATTCAGTCGAGCAACTCATTGACTTATACCCAAAATCTCCTTTTATTAATATTTATTCAGTCGAGCAACTTATTGGCGTATACCCTATATCTCCTTTTATTTATATATATTCAGTCGAGCAACCCATTGGCTTATACCAAATATCTCCTTTTATTCATATTTATTAAGTCGACCAACTTATTGGATTATACCCAAATTTTCTTTTTATTTATATGTATTCAGTCGAGCAACTCATTGGCTTATACCCAATATCTCCTTTTATTTATATTAATTCAGTCGAGCAACCCATTGGCTTATACCCAATATCTTATTTTATTGATATTTATTCAGTCAAGCAACCCATTGGCTTATACCCAATACCTCCTTTTATTCATATTTATTCAGTCAAGCAACTGATTGGCTTATACCCAATATCTCCTTTTATTCATATCAATTCAGTCGAGCAACTGATTGGCTTATACCCAATATCTCCTTTTATTCATATCGATTCAGTCGAGCAACTGATTAGCTTGTACCGAATATCTCCTTTTATTTATATTAATTCAGTCGAGCAACTCTATGGCTTATACCCAATATCTCCTTTTATTCAAATTTTTATTCAGTCGAGTAACTGATTGGCTTATATCCAATATCTCCTTTTATTCATAATCATTCAGCCAAGCAACTTATTGGCGTATACCACCTATCTCCTTTATTCATATTAATTCAGTCGAGCAACCCATTGGCTTATACCCAATATCTACTTTTATTCGTATATATTCAGTCGAGCAACTCATTGGCTTATACCCAATATCTCCTTTTATTCATATATATTCAGTCGAGCAACTCATTGGCTTATACCCAATATCTCCTTTTATTCATATATATTCAGTCGAGCAACTGATTGGCTTATACCCAATATCTTATTTTATTCATATTTATTCAGTCGAGCAACTCATTGACTTATACCCAAAATCTCCTTCTATTAATATTTATTCAGTCGAGCAACTTATTGGCGTATACCCTATATCTCCTTTTATTTATATATATTCAGTCGAGAAACCCATTGGCTTATACCAAATATCTCATTTTATTCATATTTATTTAGTCGACCAACTTATTGGATTATACCCAAATTTTCTTTTTATTTATATGTATTCAGTCGAGCAACTCATTGGCTTATTCCCAATATCTCCTTTTATTCATATTAATTCAGTCGAGCAACCCATTGGCTTATACCCAATATCTTATTTTATTGATATTTATTCAGTCAAGCAACTGATTGGCTTATACCCAATATCTCCTTTTATTCATATCAATTCAGTCGAGCAACTGATTGGCTTATACCCAATATCTCCTTTTAATCATATCAATTCAGTCGAGCAACTGATTAGCTTGTACCAAATATCTCCTTTTATTTATATTTATTCAGTCGAGCAACTCTATGACTTACACCCAACATCTCCTTCTATTCAGATTTTTATTCAGTCGAGTAACTGATTGGCTTGTACCCAATATCTCCTTTTATTCATAATCATTCAGCCGAGCAACTTATTGGCGTATACCCAATATCTCGTTTTATTCATATTAATTCAATCGAGCAACCCATTGGCTTATACCCAATATCTACTTTTATTCATATTAATTCAGTCGAGCAACTCATTGGCCTATACCCAATATCTTCTTTTATTCATATTTATTCAGTCGAGCAACTTATTGGCTTATACATGTACCCAATATCAGACATGGGGTCAATTACATGCCAAAGTAATTAATTACATTTCAATTACATTGATTTTGAAATGTAATTAATTACATTACAATTACATTACAATTACATTGCCAATGTAATTAATTACATTTCAATTACTTCTATCCAAAGACATGTAAGAGCTATATCATATAGAATAAAATCAGGAATATGACAACAGGCTAGATTAGAATGAACCTTATGTATACCTATATACCAGTAGGTTCACTTTTTAACAATGAAAACATTTGAACAAGATTAAAAAAAAAGTTTCAAAATTTCTAACGTCATTGTTACATTGCTGATTATTTGATTGCATTCCTTATTTTCATAGGAAAACAATTTATAAAGATTTACATTTATATATAAAGATCCAGATTAATATATCTTTTATTCTTAAGTATTTTATGAGTTTTTTCTTAAAATTTCAAGTTTTTACTAAAAATGTAATTTATATTTTAAAAGTTTTCTTATGTACCTCATGTGAAATTTGAAGTGATTTTAAAACTTCCATTCATTACAGAAGAGTAATGGTAGATTTTTTAAGACTTGTTTTATGATGAGCCAAATTTGTCAAGTATATTGAACTCCATTCTTGTATGTTTTGACTGTTGTACTTAAAATTTTGTAGAAAGTGTTTAAATGATATCCATCTGTACAGATTTTAACATTTAGATATGATGATTTAAAAAGATTGCCGTTGGCATTTTAATCAAGGGACAAATTTGTACTTAATACTGAGTTAAATGAAAGGAATAATCTGAGGCTAAGATTATTGTCAATTGTTAAAACAACATATTTAAAAATTGTGTCTAAATAAATTGGTATTGTTGTTAATTTTGAGATTTTTTATGTAAACATGTGAAAAATAAATGAACTAGATATCACTGAGATGGGAACCATCTCTGTGGGCCCCGCTGTGAATAATGTGTGGTAAAAATATTGTATCTTTATCATTTCACATGGGGTTGTCAACTGAAACCGAAGTTTATGACCTTGACCTTTGACCTAGGAAGTTGTACATAAATTATGACACACACTCTGGTGTTGGTTTATATACATATCAAGTATAAACTTTGAAATCATAACGGTTCTCAAGATATAGAGCGGACACGATCTTTACCATAGGACATGGGGTTGTCAACTAAAACCAAAGTTTTTGACCTTGACCTTTGACCTAGGAAGTTGTACATACATTATGACACACCCTCTGGTGTTGGTTAATATACATGTCAAGTATAAACTTTGAAACCATAACGGTTCTCTAGATATAGAGCGGACACATCGTCATGATAAATTATTAAAAAGTATTAAGAAAAATGAAAGTTGCAAGTGTATACTAAATGAAGGAAAAATAAAATTTACAAGTTGCATCAGAAAAGCTATTCTTTTTTTAAATGTCCATGGAATTATTTAAATGTAATTAAAAGTAATTGAAAAGTAATTAATAATTACATGGCAAAAAGGCAATGTAATTCATTACTTTCAATTACATGTAATTGAAAATATGCTCAATTACACTTTACATTGAATAACTTTGAAAATTGTAATTAATTACAACTAATTACAATTACATTTTTAATTACCCCAGGTCTGCCCAATATCTCCTTTTATTCATATTAATTCAGTCGAGCAACCCATTGGCTTATTCCCAATATCTCCCTTTATTCATATTTATTCAGTTGAGCAACTCATTTGATTATACCGAATATCTCCTTTTATTTATATGTATTCAGTCGAGCAACTCATTGGCTTATACCCGATATCTCCTTTTATTCATATCAATTTAGTCGAGCAACCCATTGGCTTTTACCCAATATCTTATTTTATTGATACTTATTCAGTCAAGCAACCCATTGGCTTAATATACCCAATATCTCCTTTTATTCATATTTATTCAGTCGAGCAACCAATTGTCTTATACCCAATATCTCCTTTTATTCATATCAATTCAGTCGAGCAACTGATTAGCTTGTACCAAATATCTCCTTTTATTCATAGTTATTCAGTAAAGCAACTGATAGGCCTATGCCCAATATCTCCTTTTATTCATATTCACTCAGTCAGTCGATTCGTATCATTTTACTGTCAAACGAATAGTTAATGCATGGTTTACGTGCTTATCTATCGAATTAAAAAAATGCAGCGGAGGTTATAAACAATCGAATAAATATGTATTTGGTCAAAAATGTCATTAGCCAATATATTACCTGGAATGTTGCATGTATAGAGCCTGAAATGTCTGTGTTATCTGGAAGGTATTGTCCTTCTTTTGACCGCCTTTGTCAGTAAAATCGTACATTCTGGACAGATTGTCGAAGTTAATATTATCGAATTCATCAACATATCTCTTCTTACGTTTCTTTCCAGTCTACAAATTCCCAAATACATTTGTGTAATGCAATTATTGTATGTTATAAAGTCACTACTGCTGCTAGTGGACTGCTAGACTAGTAGTACCCGATGGTATCATCGGCTGAGTAGTCAGTGCTTTGGAACTGACTGATTTATAACACACCTTTCTGAAATTCCCCGTTACAGATTATTTAGAAACTTCAGTTCCAACTATCTCAGGCAAAATTGAACTTAGGTTGATTTTAATTATTCTTTTATGTCCTGTTTGGTATTTATACATGTCTTTGGCTTTTCTTGTTTTTGGATTGAAACGTTTTTCATTAAAGTAATGTCTTGAAATGTGTTTCAAGTGCAATACATTTAGAGTTACTAAAAAGTACAAGAAAAACGCAAAATGTAAACTCGTCCTTATTGACCTTATATTACATAAAATGTTCCAAAGCCGACGAACCGTTGAATAACTAAGTATTGCATACATTTCAAAGGAAAAGCTTTGATCAGATCATTTTACCCCGTTGAAATGAAAAAAAAATATATTATAAATCTCAAACAACACCCTTCATATATTGTCTATCAGATATCAGTAGATGTGTTTTTGAATTTTGCAGTACAAATTTGCTTTAGAGATTCAACATTTGCTCATGTCACGAAAAACTGTAAAAAGTGCAAAACATGGTCCCCTTTTGAGATCTTGTCATCAATATTTTGATTTTGATTTTAGCCAAAGTTTGCTACCCCAAAAAGGTATTTTGCTAAAATATGTTTTAAACCAAGGTGTTTTAGTAGCCCAAATATCTTTTGTGAAAAGGTTAACGAACTGACAGTAAAATAGACGGCCACAAATAAAAAGCAATAAATAGAAAACAATACAATAGTAATAATTATTATAATAATTATACCGAGAATAATTTAACTTAATGCTAACAAAATTATAAACAAAACATCTGGAGAGAACTGAGAACAATGCACTAGCTAATATGATGAACTAAACTTACCCCAGGATTAACTCTGGAAGGATCTGTCTGGGTCACAAGAGATTGCAAAGCCTCCGACATGATATTTAGTTCACTTTTCTTTACGGCATTTACGTTACAAACTGTTACCGCTGGTAGAATTAAATGATTAAATCCTAGAGAAATGGAGACTTGAACATCAAACTGTAGAAATTGATCTATAAGAGAGTATAGGTGGAGTGTCATGCCAGTTATACCACCAAGAAGAAGAAAAATCCAAAATACTTTAGCGTACCATAATTTGGCGGCATTTATCCAAGGTAAACCTTGCATAGAGGTCTTTTCAGCAAATCTAACACATAATCTATTAAACGATTTCTGTTTTCCTTCAGAATCCAACGATTCTGTTTCTTCATTTTCCTACAAAATTTAAAAGAAATGTCATTTAATATTGAGGACAATTATATATATCTATGAATATTCTTATTATGTTACAAAGCTTTAAGCCCCATCACACTAGACCAACACCATGAAGATCCCACTACGATCTGTAAAAAATAAGATTGCGGTGAGATCGTGGTAATTATGGTCGGCTTGAATATTCAATATTTCATAGTTTTTACGCTCATACTACGACCTTGCTATGATCCTGATAAGATCATACTGAGATTCCGCTACGACGGTAACACGTTCTAGTTACGATCTTGCTACATCTTATAACCCCTTACCACGACTTACACGAGCTCTGTACGCTTCTACCAAGACATTACCGATCGCATTACGATCACTATACGAGTCTACTACGATCGAACCACGACTCCACTACGTTTTCTCTGCGCTCTTCGTCCCTATAAATATCTTGAATTTCCCATTGTACACACCAGGTCCCTTGAGAAAACATGCAGCCAAAGGTATCAAAGAGGTCGTGCAATTATCGTGGCTAGGACGTAGTAGTATTGTAGTATTGTAGTGTGGTCGTACTAAGGACGACAAGCGCGTAGTAGCAACGTGTTATTGTCTTCCTCGTCGTAGTATAATCGTATCAATATCGTAGTAGGAGAGTAATAAAGACGTAGTGAAATTGGGATAGTCGCAGTGAAATCGTAGTAAGGTCGAAGCGAAATATTTTTCCATTGGCTTCCCCGATTGCACCACGTTTCCAATACGATACATCTACGCCCAACCCGATCTTACTACGTCCTTACTTCGACTAGTTTGGCCACTCCACGATCTTGAAGACTTGGCACGTCTTACTACGACCTTACCACGACTACTATGATTTAACTACGACTTCCAATATTTTTCATAATTTCTGAGGACGTAACGGGATCGTGGTCCTAGTGTGATGGGGGTATTACATTCATTGTCCTGGTTAAGTTTACGATAAAGCCCGGCTACAAGCAACAACAAATGGCAGAGGAATGATTTTCTGTTATGCATCATAGTTAGTGAAGAAGATTCACTGTAAAATGATGCAAACGTCGACTTTTTTACGCATGAATGACTTTTGTCATATTTTCCATTACTTCCCAGATCTAACTACAAATCATAGAGGGATGGTCTATTTGCCAGTTTATGCATCATGTAAGACGAATATTCACACTAAATTTTGTGACCTTGACAATCAAGATCTAACTAAACACGAATGACAGATGAGTGATCTTTTATTGACGAAGGTTCAAACTAAAATTAGGCGACATAATAAATGCATAACTTTGGTTAAGTTTGGTGTTAAGGTCTGAATATAAGCAAAACCATATCATATGGGTTGATGTTTTGTCAGTTAATACATCATGTTAGTGCCGAAGGCCCACATGACAGTCTTTATGTTTAACGTATAATTGACTTTATGGAAGTTTTGTGTTAATGTTCCAGATCTAAGTAACTACAAATCGTAGATAAAGGATCTTTTATCAGCTGATGCATCACGTTCAGGGACGAAGAGTTACAATTTAATTAAGTGACATTCACCATTTTACCCATGCTATTAAGTCACCTTCAGCATTTTACCCATGAATTGATTTTTGGCGAGTTTGCGTTAACGTTCAGATATAAGGAACTAAATCTTAGAGGAACGAAATTTTATTAGTTGCTGCACCATGTTTAGTGACAACACGAGGCGGAAGGCACAAAAGGGAGAATCACAACTCATATGTCGAAGAAAGACAAACAAAATTTTGACAGATAAAGGGAGAAACAATGTACGAGTAATGTACCACACAATGGCCCCCATCGTGTTAATCCTGGTACATGTTGTAAGTGTAAATTCGTTTTTAAGTCTAATTTCAACGATGTCACGAACAATGAATAAAGGACGGAATAATGGCTATGATTATTGCAGGTACACACTAGAATTGTTTGAAAATTACCTTCATTTTATGAATAAGGGACTTCTCGAAGTTTACGTAGAGATCTAGATTCAAGCAACTACAAATCTTAGAGGAATGTCTAAAACGATTTTAGAATGTGTTAACCGACTCTACTCGATTTCTACATGTACACACAAGTTCATATCTTTTTAATATTTATACCATAATAGTTAAGAACAATTTTAGACGATGCATTTCTTTTCAAAAGTTTTTTTTATGAATGTTACCATACCGAATTTGTATGCAAATATTAAAAAAATCGTTGACTTAACACGTGTATTGCAACTTTACCTCAAGTACTCTTTCACTGACATAAATCACATAGTACGTGGCGCGAATTTTTATTGCATATTTTTTTACCAAAAAATGGTGCTGTTTCAAAAATAACTGGAAAGAAAGATGATGACAAGTGTAATATAAAACAAATTGATTTCTCTTTTTTTCTGCTTAAAATTCTACTTCTGCTGACGCATGAATGAATTCTATAATACTTTTTATCCTGCAATCAGCTAACTATTGTACAAATAACAGGTACACAAATAAATTTTTGCTTTAGTTGTGTCTCTTGTTACCCCGCTTCCATGTTGAGCAATCGGTAATGAGGATATTTCCTATTGCGTACCAGTTCATTTTGGGGTCCTCTTCGCGGTCCGCGTTTAAACTATGTCGATTTCTTTGAGAAATAAGAGAAAATGATTTAGATTTTTACAACTAAAGTTTCAAGTGTTGGGTGTAAATTTCAGGATAAAAACAATATATGTACATTGTCGGAAATATAAAATTTATTTGTACACGCTACGAAACAGGAGAAAAGCTCGGCGAGCCTCGCTTTTCGTCCTGTTTCTAAAGCTCATACAAATAAATTTTATATTTTCCGACAATGTACATATATTGTATATGTATGAATATCATTGTACATATAAACTAACATATTTTATAACAAATATACTTGACCATGTGAAATTGATTCCTGTATGAAATGTTTATTTAAAATTTACTCAATCACGGTGCGACCTTTTGTTGTAACAAAACCAATATTTGATTAAAATATGAAATAAAAAAACAATATTGTCCATATCTTGGCGAATATTTGGAAAGTAAGAACTCTACATAAGTTAAACTACAAATAAAGAACGGGATTTTATCCCTTTAATAATGACAGAATATCAATGTTTAAGTTCAAACATTATTTGTACACTTCATTAAACAGAACATCATTTACTTTATAAGAATAAAAACTAGAATAATGGTGAAATGTAACACTTCCAAAATATATCACCGCATAAAAAGAGTTCTGTTTTTTTTCAGTTTGTGGAAAATTTGCAGAATATGATAAATGGCTTCTAATATAAAAAAAGAAGATGTGGTATGATTGCCAATGAGACAACTCTTCACAATAGTACGGTGACAAGTAAGGTAAGATTTTTTAAAACAGTGGTCAACAGTCAAAAGAGGGGATTTTACAAAATCGCAATTTTTGACATTTGGACAATTTTTCGGTAGTCCCTCATGATAACTGAGAATTTTTTTTCTATGGAAGCATGCTCCGGGAATGCTTTGCGATTTCAGCTAGTCTTATTTGTGCCTGATTGCCAGAGATAATGTTGTAAACCCTCGCCTCCAACATGTATGAAAATGAAAAAAAAAATCTTTATCTACGGAAATTATCGACAAAAAATATCTATATTTAATATTTAGCTATGCAATAATATATGACAACATATAAAGATATTTTTGGGAAAGTATTGTTAAAATGCCATAAAGAACAGAGGAGAAATAAGTACCGTAGATTAACACCCGGGGCCATGTAAATAATGAAAAAAATAATGAAATTCATTACTGATTATTTAAACCCAAAAGAATGTTGGAACTATAAAAAATAGTCTTCATGCATAAAATTAATGTAAGCATGAACACTATAGTATATGAAGTTTTTTTTATGTTAATAGGTAAATCAGTACAAGAGCAATAGCATATTGAGAACTTGTGTCCCCCTTTTTTATAAAACAAGACAAACAATGACATATATAGCAGACTTAACTAAAACCGAATTCGAAAGCCTGATATATACGTGAACTACAAGAAACACGATTCACAGAGATATTACGCCACAAAAGAAGCTGTCTAGGTATATAATACACTAACACTACACATCAATATGCACGTCTTTTTGAAAAGGTAACGGACTACTAAGAAACCAACCGCGTTCGGTCCGAGAACACTGGCAGGTTTGTTTGTTTGGTTCGAGAGAGAGAGAGAGAGAGAGAGAGAGAGAGAGAGAGAGAGAGAGAGAGAGAGAGAGAGAGAGAGAGAGAGGGAGAGGGAGAGAGAGAGAGCTCCCCAACCACATCAAATCGGTCCGATAACACTGGCAGGTTTGTTTGGTTCTTTTGAGAGAGAGAGAGAGAGAGAGAGATTAATAGTTCAATCATCATCCTTATCGTGGCAATCTTCTAAACCAATCTGATGAATAAGTTGGTTTCTACAATCACCACTGCCCTGATAACAACAAATGCTGGTGCACGACAAATCCTGTATGTAGCATACACAAGACTTGCTACAAATAGTTTTTGCCTTCACATGTCAAACAAGGTCCTGTAAAAAGTCATAGTACATTGGATTCAAAATACTAGCATACTGAAACTATGGAGCTATTTCCAATATCCATATTCCAAAGGTGACCTAGGTGATGGTTTGGCGATATAAGCATTCATCCAGACGTACACTTAGAGTGAAACTCGAAGAATGTGCTGTCTGACTGATGTATCTGAATGAGGTAGTCTCACTAATTAAGCACCCTAAGAAAGCGTCGACTTCACTCTTGAGTTTTTTCAGATCATCATGTACTGATTGACCATTGCTTCTGGGGTCATATAAATCCGCGATGAATTGACTTTTCACTACAACAGATGTGTCAATATTAGAACCAGCTAGATTGACAAATTTTGATACATACAATGGTTTTGTTTCGACGCCTTGCTATTGTCTTTTTTGCCAATTCCGATTAAAGAAGACGTATCGCATCCTGTAAGAGCGTGAGCAGCTGGTAGT